TTTCATTTTTTTGAAAATTTTGGCCCATTTGACCTTGAAGTAAAGGTCAAAGGTCAAATCCAAGGGTATATTTGAAATCTACACATATGACTTTTGGAAAGCCGTCTATAGAAATTTTTCCCATAACCCCTTCCGTAGGGTAGATAATTAGCATTTAATTTTGCCATTTTTAGACAAGGGTGCATTGCAATGAGTGCCACACCCAGACCCCAATACCGACAAAGCCCAAATTTTACGTGGAACGAGTTGAGATTATAGGTGACCTAAATCCATGAGATGGGTACGGGGGCCCTTACCGTCTAGGAGGAGAAGCGGTAACGGTAGCCATCCGGCGGAGCCGGCGGAGCCAACGGAGCCGGCGGAACGATCCGGACGGGACCGAAACCATGTGTACCGCCAGCGCTAACGCTGGTGGTACAATTAAAACTGTATTGTGATAAATTAAGAGAAAAGCCATCCCACAATATACCAAATGTTGTATTATGGAAAAATGAAAAGAAAGAATTTTCTGGCCATACATCTCATATTGTGTTTATTATTAATAAATAATAAAGAGAGCAAACTTTCTGACAATATCATTCAATGTTGTCGAGTCAACTTGAAATGTAAATGCCGAGAAAAAAATGGGAGCTGCTCGCATCCTGAATGCTCAATACTGTGTTACCACCTTGTAAGAAAATTACCTTAAATTCACATCTGGATAAGAAGGATGAGAAAGCTTTGGTGGCATTCTCTCTGATACTGAGCTGTGGATGGGCCAGCAGTGGGAAGATCACTGTGTGCATCTGACTGGTGATAAACACTGGCATCTCGGACATCTCTTCTTTTCCAAACTTTTTGTATATAATAATAATAATAATAATAATTTATAGAATATTTCCAGTTCTTGCATACAGGCTACTGCATTAAGAAGTCTATTTCATTATTTACAAAAAAAAAAAAATATATATATATATATATAGGGCTTACTCAAACAAATTAAAATTTCTTTAAGCAAAATAGCTGATAGCATCAATGAAATCAATGTTTTGCACAATATCAAAGAGAAAGTCCCCCAAAAAACTAAAATATTTGACTTTTTTTAACTAAATGACAAAATGTTTGCCATTTGACTGAAATTCAGCATGCCATAGTGAGCCCAAAGTTAAGTACAAAAATATTTCAAAGCAAAGATATTGGTTCAGCCATATTTGGTTCAGCCATATTTTTTTTCATTTTTTTTCCAGTATAACAAGCACCAAACACTTTCTGTTCTTACCTTGAGATAATACTCTGTTCTAGTACTCTTTGTGTCACGTGGAGAGCTGTTCTCTATGTCAAACCCAATCCACTGAAACCGTCTCACTACTATATTGATACCTGAAATAAAAAGATATCAGATATCATTAATTCTCTGATTTACACATTCTTTGGGTTGGCAGAAACACAGACTTGAGTTGACCAGAGTTATATGATCTACAGTATGACTGAATATCACACATGCATGCAGGTGTGCTTATGCGCGCGCGCACACACACACACACACACACACACACACACACACACACACACACACACACACACACACACACACACACACACACACACACACACACACACACACAATCTACTAACCCATCACGGCCCCTTCTTTTGCTTGCCATGAGGAATCCTCTCCTTTACAAATAGCGGCTAAATTGCTGAAGAAAGACTGGAGCTGGTCCAGAGTGATATGTTCTATAATTCCACTCAGGCGAGCCACACAGGCATTCCTGATAGCTGACCAAACATCTGTTAATCCTAGTAGGATGATGTCCTAGAAAAAAAAATAAATAAATTGTGTCTTCTTAGAAGTTGTAATATAAATCATCACCTGTTTTCCTTATCATTGTCATAGGATACAGCAGGAAACAGCAGGCAGAAGCTGATAACTGTTGATATGACCTCTGAAAGTCGGCATGGAAGTGAATAATGTGATTCAAGGGTCTAGTGCTTCAAATCAGATTATCATATATTTTCATATAAGAAACTAAAATCACACTTCTAGAATTGATAAAATGCATGAAACAACGATGTGTTGTGAGTTACAATAATTTTTGCATCTACGAATATATCAACAGTGCTAAATACGATAGTCTCAAATGTTTTTTTTCTTTTTTTTTTTGTCCCAAACTAATATTCTATAATGCTCACAGACATGTTCCAATGTCAATTTGGCGCCTTACTTCAGTCTGATTTCACTAGACGTCAGTCATGTTGCCAACCTTGGACCCATCGTACATATAATGTGTATAATAGATCCAAGAGTCAATCAGAACAAGATGTCATCAAAGATATGACAAAAGAACATTTCAAACCTAATATAATTTTCAAACTGATGGGCTTATTTCAGCATGCTAGATATAATAATTCTACAGGTTTATCTTACCTTGACTAGAGTGAAGTGTTCCTCTTCCAAGTTATCAAGGTTCAACTTGATCCAATTCATGGCATGGATTATAGTTTGGTTACGGACTACAGGCTTATTGGTAGCTGTGAAAAAAAAAAGGATCGATAAGAATATTAATGACTATCTTATAACATATTCATGTCATCTAGCTGCAAAAAAAGGTGACAAATTGATTGCAATACAAATGTTAAGTAAATACTCATTTATACAAATACCATGAATACAAATGTTTTGCACCATATCATATTCACCGAAAATGTTTGATTTAGAAGCAGATCTATAACATGGAAAATTAAAGTGCTTTGTGTACAGAACACATGAATAACTGAGAGAGAGAGAGATAGAGAGAGAGAGAGCGAGAGAGAGAGTGAGAGTTTTACCTTGTTGTATACTATACATCAAACTTTCCAGCAAAGCTTTTGTCATCTTTTGGCACATGTACCTGAAATCAATAATGATGACATTATTTACAAAAAAAATCATTAATGGGTATGCATCTCATCTATTTCATCAAAGCAACATATCACATATCTGTAAGACTAACCATGAAAGCCAACAGTTACTCTAAACTGTTTGATCAAATCTTATGAAATATTCATAAACAACAGAATAAAGATTATCAAGTGGCATAGTATAATGCCACACGAGAATACATCGTGATATTTTGTATAGGAGCTGCTCATATTGTACAAAGTCATGTCGCCATGGGTACTAGTTAACAATATACATAATAAAATTCATACATCCTCCTCTTGGACAATAACAATTGTGAAATTGCTAATTGGCATTACTTGACAACATTTGCACCTAACACAGTTAGAAGCACTCAAACTCCGTGCCTTTATTAACTAGGCACCCTATTCTGATTGGTCGCCCTGACTAGGAACCCATTCCCATAGATTTTAGATCAATCTATCCCTGTGGGTAGTCTCAATAGATTACTGTCAGCTTAGCCGGCTTATGCATCAGTCTTGCCTACTAAAAGCTGTAAGGGGGTAATTAACTATGGTGCGCGCTCGGCTGACTGCAATTTAGCGTGAACCCTCAGGGAGTTAGGTCAATCTACATCTAAATCTTTGGATCGATCTAAATCTCTGGGAATGCACCCTAGCAGATCTCAGAAAACTAACAAGCCAAATCAAAAATTTGTTAGTCTGGTGATGAAATCGATGGATGGTGGAAAGCAAATTTTAAAAGCCTGGGGAGAATATAATTAGTAATAACCTCAGTTAACCACGTTGTTGCGTCAGTTGTTATTGTAGTCACCTGGAGGCAGGCTGACAACGTTAACAGTGGTGAAGGCGATACAGTGATGCAAAACATTTAATGCAGGAGCCATTTTGTCATTTGATAAATCAAACTTTTTAGTACTAACACAAAGGTTCAATTAACAGTTACTTACTAGCATTACGAATTGGTACATGATTTTATATACACTGAGAAGTTGTATATATTTCTATTAAAAAGACAGGACTTTCCTATATAATACCCTATATTACCTACTTACATGTACTTTTCACTGACATTAAACCCCCCCCCCTTCCTCACAAGCAGGGGCAAACCTTTTTTGTCTCAAAACTTCCTGCAGCACTCCAATGAGTAATAGATGATACATAAATCTCTTCAATGTGATGAGACAAGCAAAACTGGTGGTTCAATACATGTACTTCTGGGTCATAGTTCTTTTTTTTTTTCAAAGTTGGGAGGTCCTTCGCCTTGTCTTTTGTAAGTGAAGTGTACATACTAAATTTGCACTAAATTTGCTTCAATCCAGCTTTCAATTATTAATCGCAAACAATTACATCCTTCACAGGAAAAACCTTTTTTTGACAAACTGTCGGCATTGTACCATAAAAATCCAGTTCACAATGTTCTGTTGGTTAAATATTTTCTATTCACTACTGTAACAGTGATGTTTGCACTGCATAAATACAATTGCTGTTTCTTATTTGACTCCTTCTCAGCTCTAGCTGTACACAGTTTGTCATATCAGATCTACTGTTCCGAAATACAATAGGAGGATGATGGTGAAGACGACCTCAAGTGCATTTTAATCGATAAGATTAGGCCGATGTGCATTACCAATACAACACGTCACTGTTCATTGTAGACTGAATTGTTTATGAAGCAAAAGAGGCAGAATAAGAAAAATTGCAACAAAAACAGAACTGTTTTTCCTTGCAGGATCAAGAGAAAACTTGTACATTTAGATACTAGAGTGTAAGGTGACTCAGTCATAGGAATGGCCCCTCTTCTTATGATTCAGAGTCTAGACAATCACAAGTATCAACAGGGATGGAAACAGAAAATGCAAAAAATAAATAAAGTCAATGTGGATGGGGGAGGACTTCCTCAGTTTCTCCAGCAACTTCTACAAATTCATTTTTTTTCATAAGATGTGATATGTTGCTTTGATGAAATTGATGAGATGCATACGCATTAATGATTTTTTCATGTCCTAGAAAAATAAAATTTCCATTTTTCTGAAAAAAAAAAAAAAAAAAAAGGATCTTTATACAGCACATGATGATTGCTATAGAGGACCTGGTATCAAATGACCCTACACTATATATTTACTCATGGGTTAATCAATAAAACAACAAAGCAGCTCTGCTACTGAAATTTTCAGACAAAAGTACTCTGTGTGTACAATCCAGTCCAAATGTGTGTGGATTGCTACCAGAATATGTGGAATAACTACCGCTGTAGGGCATATATCAACCCTACTGCTATATTGACCGAGTTTTTGAATTTCTCTTTTTTTCTTTTATTTCTTTCTTTTGCGTATAATAATAATATAAAACTCCCTGCCTCTAAAGATGTTAAATTTACCTGCATTCAGACGTGACAAGCTCATTTTTAGTTGACTGTATAATAGCATAAAGAGAAATGGACTTACAACATGAAAAATAAATCAAATGCAACTTTAATCTGAATAAATCCAGCTACAAGTATATCAAAATGAATGGTTTCTTACAACAGATGATCAATAAAAGATTCTGAATTTTCTTAAAGGTTAAAATATTTCATTTACTTCATACAAAGAAGCAGTGACACAGCATAAAGACATTAATACAAACAAACCCAGATTTTGACCTTCCATTATAAATCCAAAACCTCATTCACAATCCAGTTACAATGCCTTAGCTTAAAAATGCTCTTTCTACACTGACCACTGATTAAGACTTCTGACCAAGGGGTGCCTGGATTTTATCTCTCTTTTAATCTTTTCCACGGCCAGCATCATTGAGGTATGCTGCATATAGTAAGACTGGATTTCTATAGATTTCTATAGTAAGAAATCATATTAATCACAGTTTGCGGGAGATAATTCATCGTAAGTTAAGCCATCCTAAGCCGACTGAAATGCACCCAGAGTGACAGATGTGGGTTATCTGTAAGCTAATTAAAGTGTCAAATCCACGTGAGCAATACTTACACGAAAATCAATACAAGGCAATAGGGAGTAAACAACAAGGTACCAACTCACTTGCCATTTTCCTTTCAATCAAGATAAAAACTTGACAAGCCACACAACATCAAAGGACTACCCCATCCCCTTATCTGACTGCATCATTTAATTTCCACCAGTGCAGATTTCTGGACAAAACTAAGAAGGGTCTATCTATTGCATTGCACAGGAGCTAGGTAAACTAGCTACCAAAACAGACCAAGCTTCCTTAGTTCTACAACTGGATGGCCACTTAGTTGTGATCTGACAAAATATGCCAAATATTATTGGCCTTAACTTAAAGGTACACAAAAGAGGATTTTGGCGCCAAAATTCATACTTAACGAATCATCCTGTGGTAAATGGCATTTTCCCTGCATTTACCAAACTTTAATCTCCCTTCCCTGACACTCGCCATAACTCTGTAACAGTTCTGGATAAAGGCAAAGATCAAAACCCATGCATAAGTGGCATAAGCTGAGGTTTTTCATACACGGCTTCATTTTTATTGACTGCACTTCCAGATAAAGTGAGACTATGATGCCATAGACCCCGCTCTTTTCAAACTATGTCAAGATGGCTGACTACCATGATTTGAAAGGGGACGATAAATATGATTGCAAGTAATTTTTGTGATACTGATTAGGGTCATTTAATTTTATCTGTCATTTTTATGTATTAAAAGTTTTCAATGTCCTCAGATAAAGTCAACAAGAAGCAATCCATGCATTTAGAATGCCTTTTAACTCCTACTTTCTGTGGCTTTAATTTCAGTACATAATTTTAGGATACAGGAGTTATGATAAAAGTGAATAAATTTTGCCTACAATTCTAAACCAATTATCTAAAATATAAACATACACACAGACATGCACACACATACATGCAACACACACACACACACACACACACACACACACACACACACACACACACACACACACAAATAAATGTCTCCAACTGATCAGATTTTTGATAACAACATTACAGAAAACAAATTGTCCATACTGGTACTCACCATTTGATAAAGTCATCCAAGAGGTCATTCAGTAATGCCTTGTGCCTCACTTCTCCTGCCATGACACTTGCCTTCGCAGGCCGCGCTCTGGCTTTGCTCCCAGGCTTCCCTTCCAGCTCTGACCAACCATACCTCCGATTCAAGAGGTAGTATGTAAAATCATTCAAGTCATTTTGTTTGGAATATAACATTTCTGGACTGTGACCTGGAAATGGGGTATCATCCTCGAGGAATCCCGATTCTAGAAATTGTTTTTCACAGACATCGGCATCTAGGTCGGAGATGAGAGGCTCCGTCAGACTGGGAAGGAGCCTGTCTTGGACAGCCTGCAGAATCTTCAGTTCTTCTTCAGCAGACGATGCCTGCTTCAGTTTTGACAACATTCCTGATTTCTCCTCCATCTTGAAAACTTTCTCTTGTGCTTTTTCTCAGCAGTACTGTCACTGTGATTCAATCTGATTGTTTTGAGTTTGGAGCATATACAACTGTAGAAGCATCTCAGCAACAGTATCTGGTTCTTCTAAGTGAAAATCTTGACAATAAGTACAATCCTTTGTCATGGCATTGCAGAAATGATGAATCTGGTGTCTGTAATAAAGAAAGTTATATCATTCTATGACAAAACCAAGGATTTCATTAAAATGTCAATTTGATCGATTACTCTTTATAAACCAATACAAAATCATCCAAACTAAAACTGATTGTGTAATAAAAGCCTAAGAAAGCAAACATCACTTATCACTATTGAACAAAATCAGTATACTCAGTGCCTGAGCAGTCCATGTAAAAGTGCCATCCATAATTTCTTATAAATAATTGACAATTTGATGAACAGGATGACCAACATTGCAAACCCCAGATACTGAAAATCTGATTAGGTTTCTTATATAATCAATTTCCCTTATCTATTAATATTGTAATTGTATAGGGACTAGTATGCTGCTAATATACAATCTATAAATGGGCAAAGTTTATCTGAAAGAAAATGTATTCTGTGCAGAAAACATCATTTATTTGAAGAGCAGAAAGAAAAAATAGATCTCAATAAAGAGATCTAGAAGAAGAAGAAGAATGATTCAAGATAAAGGTTACATTCTAATGTGTGCAGATTACAATGGCAATTTTGAATACAATTTATGGGCAGTGCAGTCACCTATCTAAGTGATTTGATTTGAAATTTAAAAAAAAGAAAGACACAGCAACTTTCATTGTATTTAACACTTAACTGCACTAAGTGGATATTTAAAAAATTCTGATCCTACATATATTGGTGGCGATTGCCAAACCCGTAAAATTTTACACATTTACAGTTTGCGGAATAAAAATGGTAGCACTGTTAAGGCTTATAGACATGCCATGGTGTATTTACCATGCCAATGCATAAGAATAAGACTTAAAAATTGGCAGTGCTGTTATATACCAGTGTGATTTTGATGTTACGAAAAAATTTGTTGTTTAAAATGTGTCAAACTAATAAAAATGAATAGAGAAAAAAAAACAGGCTTTCATTTTACATGTACATACATAATGAAAAGAAGAATTATAATTAGTATTATAAATTAAATGCATAAAATCCCCCCCCCCCAAATTTAATTGTTATTAACATAAAGAGTGAAGAATAATTAATTGAATATTTTAGGTAATATTTAATCTTATTGATTTTAATATTGACTTTTTAAATTATTTAATCCCTCAACACATCCTTCCCTCAACTCCTTCACCCCCCCCCCCCCCCCCCACTCCCACCACCACCACCACTGCTCACGGTATATTTTGTGGACTTGGCTATACTAGACTCCTTGTAAATGATTGACCAAACTGCAGATTCATATTTTGTACTCCTTCTACCCCTGGCTGCCACCATCTATATTTGTGGGATGCTGGAGGGTCCATGCATTAATATGTTAATATTATTTATATAAACGAATGGTGTAACAGACCATGGATCATTACCAATAAAGCTTATGGTATTTCTTTAAGCATAAACTTTGGCATACAGCCTTTCAAATCATCACATGTAGCGCATTCAGAACAGCGGAATAATAGATCTGTGGATCAAATATGGCCAACCCACTGGAATGCTTGTTGCGTAATCCCAGCAGGGAATGTACTCAGTGTCTAATTGCAAATGAAGCGTCAACCTTTTTAGTGGGTCACCACATTTGATCCCTAGATCTGTTAGTACGCTGTTCTAAATATGCTCATGAACTACAAGGGTATACATTCATAACTTGAGCTTCATTTAGATTAAGAAAACAATGAAAGTTTGCACTTGCATGGGGGTGCCTTTTAGTTGTTTGGCATGTCCAATGTTGATGCAGCCTTAAAAGTTCTATACAGTCCAGAGGACCTATGTATCATTAAAAATACTTTCTAATGTCATTGCATTGGGTTAGGAATGCATACAGTATGCTAGATGACTCAGAATGCTAATTTAAGGCTATCACAAATCAAGTAAAATGGGGAATAATGTAGTATAATAAGTTTAAATAACTGTTGTCTACCTCATGAAAAAATGATTGCATCTCCTCTTTTCCATTACCTACATAATACCGTAAGTAACTGTCACAGTGCGCCCCAAAATGTTTCATATATGACCAGTACAGTACTACTTACTAATAACCACAAGTAATTTTTTTAAAATTTGCTTACTGTTCAAAGTAACACTGACAACTGGCACCTCATCATAATATAAGGTACTTCCACGTAAGACACAGTATTTTATCATACATATGAGAGTAAAAACTAAAAACATACATACTGAACCATTAATGCATTCACAGTAGCACATTCAATATGCATACAAAAGTTTCTTAGACTTACCAAAGATAATTCACTTGCAGGTGCCCGCCATCTTGTTTATACTGACGTCACTTCCTTCTCTACCCGTTTTCTCGTTTTTGCGAGCATAATTAAAACTACTAGTTTCAATTGATATTTTTTATAGACAATTCCATAAGGTTAACAGTAAAATTGATATTCTTCATTTAGTTCCCTTAGACTTAATTGAATAAAAAATAACATAGTTGGGTTGGTCGTCAGAGCGAGTCAAACATGGCGAGCAACTCGTACAAAGGTAATGTCACCGGATTTTATTCTTAACAAAATATTTGGTTACCTTTTTTACCTGAAGCGATGCCACATGAGTTAACAGTTGTTTAGATACGAAACGATGCCCATTTAGATCTCCATAACGAGTGTATTTGATGATAGATTATAATATACATTTTATCATGAATGATATGACAGCACATCTTTTCCTAGTAGGCTAAAGTTTAACCAAATGAAGTAGTTCTTTCGAAACTAGGTAATTTTCACTTCTGGCAGAACGGTGTTTTCCGATTCAGATGTCTTCTTCTTTCTTGTAATTGCTGATTTACAGGGGCTTGTCATTTCATATAATAAACTGAAGTTTTCTTTACAGTTTCCAAAGTTAGAGTTTCAGAATTATTAGCACACCTAAAATATGTGGAAAAAAAGCATATACAATACATTTCTTAAAGTGACATGATGATGTTTAAGCTACAATGTGCAGTTTTGCTTTATAAACAGATTTACAGACGATTGAAGTTATCATATTTAAAATAAGTTAAAACAGATTTGAGAAAATGAATCTTTCTTGAGTAGACTACTGTTGTAATGATATTTCAGGCTCAGTGAAAAAAGTTAAGTCTCTTCAGAAGCAAATAATCTTCATTTTATTGTTTTCGTTCAAGAAAAAAATTAAATGGGGTAAAAAAAACTTGCATTCGTTCTCAAATGCACAATATAACTCACAATATTCATTTTTGTCTTCCAGTTCCTAGAAATTTCCAGCTACTACGTGAGTTAGAAGAGGCGGAAAAAGGATGTGGTGATGGAAGCATAAGCTGGGGACTGCTTCATGCAGATGACATGCAGTTGAACTGCTGGTCATGTCTGATTATAGGTCCCCCAGGAGTAAGCACGTTTTTGATCATCTAATAATTAATTGAGCACTGAATTTTTCAACTTTCATTAGTACGTTTGCGGGTTCTTTAAACAAAATTCTGACAGAAATCTCTCCAGTATGCACAATTGCACATAGTTATGAAATACTGTGCAAATTTGATAAGATAAGTAGAAGAGGTCGGAAGGGGTAAAATAAAAAATGTTTTTTCAAAATCATGACTTTTTGTCACTATGATAAAAGAAAACATTTCAAACAACATTTTCTTCCTTATATCAATATCACAGCAGCATGTAACAGCACTGCTAATTTTTCTAATTCTTGCACTTTATTTTTAACTCCAGCAGAGTTTGAGAAACAAGTTATCAAAAAATGCCTTCCTCAGTAAAAAAAGTATAATTAATGTATACAGTGTTAGATTTACATCAATATATTTGACATAATTTTATTTATCTTCCAGACTAATTTTGAAAATAGAGTGTACACTTTGATTTTGGAATGTGGTGTCAATTACCCTATCGAGCCACCTTCTGCCAAATTTGTAACAAAAATACGAATGAAGGAGGTCAATGACCAGACTGGAGTGGTGAGTGTTTTATGAGCAAGGCTTTATCTTAAGAAGAAAGTCACTTTCTGATGCTTCAAATGACTAACAATAATTTCTAGTCATTTGTAGTCATTTTGATGTGCATTTTGATGACATCATGGGTTAATAAGTTATTTGTAGTCATTTTGATGTGCATTTTGATGACATCATGGGTTAATAAGAAAAACAGGGAGTTGTCATCACTCTGCTGTACCATGCGTTACAATGATCTACACTTGCAAAAAAAGAAAGTTTTGATGTTAGATATCCAGCACTAAACCCCTATAAGTCAAGATGCATAGTGACTTCAGTATTTTTACAATGATCCTAAAACCTACTATTACCTTGATCAATCCCCTACAGACCAAGGTACTATGAGAAAAACGAAGTGGAGGATGGAAGGGGGAGAGAATGTGCACCTGTTGTAACCTGCTCCTTCCCATCATTGTATTTTTTTTTCACAGCATGCGGACAAAAAATTTGCAAGTTAATATGAAATATTGAATGACAAAGACGAGCTGTATATATAGAATGATTAAACATAGAAGACTATCATGAAAAATTACAGGGATTTTCCCCAACTAAATGGATTAGCATAATTTATTACCCTGAGTTGTATGTGATTCCCAGAAATTGTTTAAAAATAATTTTTGTCTTCCTAAATTTCAAATCAGGTTATTAACACCATAATTTGAAATCAAATGTTTTTCACATTGTTTTTTCTTTCTTTTTTCAGGTGGATCTAAGGCTATTGCATATGCAGTCTCGGAGTAACAGTTCCCCTTATTCTATAAATGGAGTTTTGCAAGAGATACGCAACGCAATGACTTCTAAAGAAAACCGTAAACTTTCTCAGCCCCCAGAGGGCAGCTCGTTCTAAAGATATTACAAGAAAAGCCCACCATTGATGTCCTGAAACACATAGCCTATACATACCTAGGGGCTTATGCTAAGAAGTTTTTTTTTTTTTTTTTTTTTGTCATTGACTAAAATGATTTGACGTAACCAAAGAAAAGGAGACTGTGTTGGTATATGTCACAATTTTGTCAATGCTTCGCCTCAAATGTTTGATAAGGACTGTAAAGCATCATGATGCTGAAAAGAATTATGCTAGTGTGAGCCTATGTATATGGAAATATACATACATGCATGTGCACACTTGCATATACATCTGCAGACATTGACATGCATTGAATACATGTTAGTGTTTCACGTGGCATATTATTGAGCCGTTCATTACAATTATGATACTGGTAATGAAGATGTCAATTTTTTTTATATATACAGCAAATGATTTGCTTACAACTGTGAGCTTCAAGTTGTCCAAAGTTGATTTTTACTCACAGAATTTAAGGGCATGTTCAAACTGTGACACTCACATAATGAGAAAGAACTGATACATACACACATACATATATTAAAGAAATATATCAAATTCAGATTTTTGTTCTGTTACCCCACACACCCACCACCCAAACCCCCTTTCTTCCAACATGATTTTTATCCTCTTAACTTCAATTTAGACAGAAACATTGGTCTTACAGAGTAATAAATCTGAAAGACGAACTATTGAGTATCTTAGCTTGTGATTACTCAAATCGATGCAGCACAGTTTCATGTGCAACTAGTGCATGATATGCTTCTTGATGGACTGTTATTGGATCCAAGAAGGATTTTTTTTTTTATTTTTCTCTTGTATTATCGCTCTTCTGTTATGATGGTGGGCTGGAAAAGGACAATTTGTTACTTTTAGGGAGGACAGCAGCATATCTCCCGGCTTTGTGAAAAGTGCTCCACCTTTAATCCAGTTAAGTGATTGTAAAACTTTGAGAAAAAGAATAAAAATTGCAAATAGGTGATATGATGAGACAGTACACACAGAATATAAAGTTGTTGATTATAAGTTGTATCTGTTTTAGAACTCGCCATACAATTGTGCAAATGTGAAAAGTCTCATCTAATAAAATTTGCCAAACAAGGAAAAGAGAAGAAATCTGTTACATTTACAGGTTCACTTCTGTAAGTCCACTATTTTCAGATTTTCAAGTAGAGTTGATTCATACATGGAAGTCTTGAGCGTAAAATTCAAGTATTCTGTCTTTTATGTAAAGTGGTCATTGCATCTTGTTAAAGGCCCTGGAATATTTTCTAAAGTGATATTGTGATTGGTTAGGACAGTAAAACTTAAATGTGCCAAGCCCACTATGTTTGTAATACAAATTTAATAAGAAGAAAGTGATAGGTACTCGCAGAGATGGCACTGAAATTAGTAAAACTGAATGAAATTGTAAAATTACTCTAGAAAACCCGTTTGAAAGTATCTGGTTCATTTTTCATTTAGGAAAGAATAAAGAAAAGTAAATCCATGTTGGTTTGGAGTATTTTGCACCAGTGATTTGCCTCCTATAGCTTTCTTAATTTGTTAGTGTCTCACTTTTTGTGTATGTAAAAGAAAAACATTGCATACCAGTGACGGGAACGCTGATTAAATTTGAACAGCATTTGAAAAAAAAAAATTGAAAATGTTCATGTTTTAAGTGAATCAAATGAACCTAGTAGCTTCTAAGAAGAAATTTTGGTTGATACTAAATACAGGTACATAATGTAAATATATAAAGCTTACACCCCATTCTCATAGATTAGATCGACCTACATTGGATCGACCTAACTCCCTGGGGGTTCACGCTAAATAGCTGTCAGCCGGGCGGACACGAAAGTTAATTACCCCTTATAGCTTGTAGTAGGCGGGGACGGACACTTAAGGCGGATTATCTGACAGTAAACTAGTGAGACTCCCCGCGGTGATAGATCGATCTAAAAGTTGTGAGAACAGAGCTTAAGATTAAACTGGATGTGCTGTATCCAAATATAAAGACCATTGCTGATTAAAATGTAAATTTGTCTTGTCTGTTGGTAATACATCAAAAAATATAAACAACTTCTTGTCATGGTAATTACTTGCTACATATATATTATGAATACGGAAAATTCTGTGTAATTTAAATCCATGTCCTAAAAGCATGCAACCTCCAATACATCAGTTGTGACGTAAGTGTACACTATGGCTCATCTTGCACATGTTACTCTTTCCAAAAGGAGACTGAAAACGGTGCCAGGCTTTTAAGCTCTTTGACAATAAGTTGTGCTGAAAAATGAATGAAACCACATCACTGCGCAATTTTAACGCACCGTAAGCACTTGAACTATAAAAATGACCATTTACAGGATAGTGACCGCAGAACTGGAGCCATCTGTTTTAAAAAAGGTGAGCTATGCTGATGCGTTGATCACTAAAGCCGAGTCCGAATTTGGACTGCAACGTGAAAGGGTCACCAAAGCTAAGGGTGACCCTAATGTGGACGCAAAAGAATGGACGTGGTCAGTTCATGGCACATGGGATGCAATTAAAACGCTGCATGATTCACTAGAAGATGCATACCAGAAAACGGTGAAAACCGAATGTGTAGAGCTGGAAGAGATGCACACCAGTGACCCCTTTTCAGATGGCAATGAAACAAATAATGGTTCAACTGCTAAGGAAGATGATAGGCGTTATAAATCAGATCGAGATGATGATGATGAAGAAGGAGATCTAAATGTAGATGAAGATACAGACCATGAGGTTTTGCCTGATTCCTGTAGTCAGGCAGATGAAGAGAACAACAAAAGCAGTGAAACAGTGAATACCTCCTGCTCAGCAGCCCATGAATATACCAGGGATGAAGAGGGTGCAGATGCGGAGAAGATTCCTGATCCTGAGGTAAATGAAGCCTTGAGAGAAGATTCATCTACCCAACCTGCCTCTGTGAAAAGTGTGCCCAGATCTGCACAGCACAGAAAAGCAGTGCATCCACAGAAATTGCTGCAACGAAGAAAGAGGGGTCGTCCAAGAAAGACGGAGAGAATAGAAGTGGTAGAGGAGCATGGAATGAGAGGAGATTCTCATGAGGGAAACGGTGTAACTATAAAGACTGAAACCTCACCAGAAAGCGACCAAACAGCAAACAACCCACCCCAAAATGATGAGTCTCTTGCTCTTGAAAAGACCTTCAAATGTAACATATGTGAGCATGTATCTCTAGAACTCCGGCAGTATGTGGCTCATTTAATTGATGTTCATGTCACCAAAAAGTGGAAGTGCCCCCTGTGTAGTAAAAATGCATTTGATAAATTCATGCTCCAAAAACATCTTCCAAAGCACTCAGCTGTCCTCTATCCTTGTAACAAATGTGGAAAAGCGTATAAGAGAGAGGAATACCTGCGTGTTCACAGGTGCAAGCCAGACAGAAAGAAAAGTAAGTTCACCTGCACAGTTTGCTATAAGAAGTTCATGACCAGCCAGTCGCTTTCTACCCATTTTGAGAGGATACATGCAGGGGCTGTTAAAAGCGAGGATGAGGAAGATGATGAGGATGAAATTAACATTGAAGAAGATGACAAGAAAGATAAAGACTTTAAAGTAAGGAAAAGTGCTTCCTCTGTTATTTCAAAGATGGATCAAAAGAAAAGAATTGATGATGATGAATTTATGAAGTCGCATTACATCATCAAGAATGGAACTTTTCAATGCAAAACATGTAATTTTAAAACAGACTATCAGAGAAATGTGATCATTCACGTTAAGAGGAAACACCTCCCTAAAAGCATCTATTGCCCCCATTGCTCTCAAACATTTGGTGTTGCACATGATCTTACAGAGCATGTCCAGAGAAAACACAGCGGGAAAGTCCATCTGTGTGAAACTTGCGGAAAGTCATACGGATCTGAAATTGGCTTGAAAAAGCATATGGAGAGACACGATCCTAATTTTATACCTGAGAGGTTTCCCTGTGACCAGTGCGACAAAGACTTCTTTTCAAAAACTGCTTTGTCTTTTCACAAGGATAAAATCCACCGAAATCTGAACATGAAGAGACATCAGTGTGAAGAGTGTGGGCGTGCGTACCACCATAAGCATTCGTTGGAAGAACACAAGCTTACACACAGGGGTGAAAAACGCTTCCACTGTCCCCAGTGCTTCAAGAGTTTCACATACAAGTCGTCAAAGAAAAAACACATACAGATGGTCCACATGACAACGGAGTTAAAGTTCTCATGCGAAGTGTGTGGAACTAAGGTGAAATCTGAGAGTGCGTTACGAATGCACATGACTATTCACTCCACAGTGCGTCCCCATGCGTGTTCAGAGTGCGGAAAACGTTTCACTCAAAAGCAGGCCATGTTGCGTCACAAGCGTATCCACACGGGTGAAAAACCATACGTTTGCCATTTTTGTAACAAGCGCTTTAGTGACACCTCAATATTACGCAGACACTTGTTTGTTCACAAGAAAGACCCTTATATACAGGGCCTTGAAAGCACAGACAGCCCTGAGGTGCAAAGTACTTCATCTAGTCATGTTGCCTATGCAAACATTTATTATGACCAAGTGTGCCCAGTGTCGGAAAACATTCACAATATGCAGAGTATGACAAATGAGAACATGTCCAGTTCTTACACCACCATTGGTCAAGCCAACTCCAGTGGTCATCCTCGGACCCCACCCTTGCAGATGCCTTCAGTTAGTCTTGCCCCCCCTTTGCCATCACATCTCAGCTCAGTCCAACAGTTGCAAGCAACTCTGCAGACAGCTGTCAATCTTGCCCATCTCCACGCCACAGTGCCTGTCAGTCTGACTGGTATTGATGGGGATGGTCCGCCCATTACAGAATCCAGCCCACCTCCCCAATATATCCCTCCCCCTGGGGTCCATAATATCCTAAACACACAGTCTGAGGGGATGCCCCACCCTCCACAGGAGATCTGGTCAAACAATGGTTATACATACTGCCTGCCCCCTGGTGGTGAATCTGGACATGTTTAGTGGAGCAGATAGACAACTGAAATTTTCTAGGTGAAGATAGTGAAGCCAAAATTACATGATGTTTTTTTTTTATATATATAAAAATGGTATATGCGATTTACATTACACTTTTACAGAATATTAGATTTGATTATTCTCATTGCATATTTTATATTTTGCTTTAAGAAATTCTATTAACACTTGTTTTTATACAAAAATTGGTCAAAATCCAACTTTCTGGTGGACAGTGTCATAAATATTTACATGGATCTAGTTTATCATGTTCAGTTATTTGTTTTATCTTGGGGTATTTTAAACCATTGATGTTATTTCACAAGATTTTGAATCACTTGTAAGTGCAAATGAGTGTTGCATTATTACCATGAAATTTTGATAGTATGTTGGTGAACACACTCCATAACAATATCCAGTTAACAAATTTGACTACGTATCACTCGCACATTTCAAGCTAAGTCCCTAATCTCTGTATTTTGGTTATCAAAATGTGTCAGTTTTGGTGACTGATCAAAGTACTTTCTGTCATGAACATTTGCTTCCTGAAACATCAGAATAATATTTTTCGGGTATTGGGAACAAAATAATATGTTTTTTCATTGGTAAAATTGATATGTGCATGTATTTGCTTCGATGTTATTGCTAAAGAGTAATTTGATTTGCATGTTTATATACTCATTATATATATATATGTAAAGAGAGAGATTGGGCTAAAACTGTGCTTTACACTTGCCCTGTTTTGCTTGAATATGTGTTATTTATAAATATAGTAGTGGTATGTAATGAGCTCATGGGGGTGAGTTTATAGCTAGTTATTCATTAATATTATATATCAATTGTACAAAGAGAAGTATTATATACTGATGTAGTGTGTAATTTTTGAACTGAATGTATGATAATTATTCAATGATTTTAGATATGTCATTTATACCAGTATTTAATATTTTCATAATTATTATTTTGACCAATTCACTGAGGTTTTTTTTTTTATGCCATAACCTCTCCCTCCCCCCACTTAGGCTTTAGATTTTCAGATATATTTTCATGAATATCAAAAAACACTTTCTTGGATATAGCCATCTAATAGTTTGAATTAACTGAGTGATTACATTGCATTTTGATTGGTAAGGCAATAAGTTTTGTTTTTGAAATCTTGGCAACTAGACTTTTTGTATATATCTAGCAGACGTGAGCACAGTCAGGTAATGTTTATGTAAAATGTTGTGCATAGGCTTTTTTTTCTAAAGTATTTTTAAACAGAGGTTTAATTCTTCCTGGTTTTAATAAGTCTGTTGGTAACTTTGGGAGATGAATTTGTTGAAATTATTGGTATGATGATTTCATACACAATATAATACATATCACATGTATTGTGCATGCTGACATTATCCCCCAGAAAGCAATAAGAAAACGGTAAATTTACACTCACAACATGTCTACGACTTGTTCAATCTTAATGAAAGAAGGGGGTAAAGGCCATACATGGCTGATTGTGTCATGATGTAAGAATGGGGTGAAGATGTTTGAAGGCATCATAGAGGTTGATATTATGTTTTAATGACACCAGGATGTCAATATATTTAGTTTTATCACATGGCAAATCCCCAAATATAACATAGAATTCTATGCCAATAATATAATAACAATTTTTATTGTTTATTCCCTCTGCAAAAAGAATTTTTAAGGTGGCAACATTGCTTTTGTTAGTAGATTAGTTGTATTTAACGTAATTTTCATGTAGATTATGACACTAGTAAAATGTATATGCTTTTCATTTAATGCTTAGACTTGTTGATATAATCTCATCGAGATCAATGCTTTTAAAAAGAATCATTGTTATCAGTTTGTCACATGTAGTGATTTGTGGACATAAACATAGCGTGAAAAACAACAGAAAAGGAAGATAAAAACTGGTGTTGTAAAGACAATTCTTTTTTACTTCAAATCGCCTGCGTGTGAATAATAAATATTTAAGGGATAACAGCTGTTCATTCCTGGGATAAACAACATGTTGTATGTTTATGTCCACAAATCACTACATGTGACAAACTGATAACTACAGGGGTGGGGTGGGGTGAGGGTCGAAAGAACCGCCCTTTTTGCCAGGAAAAGGTCCTTTCTGGGTAAAATTTTGATCTACATACACCGAGGTTTCATGGTAAAAGGTCCATTTTTTTAGAAAAAGAACCCCCCTTTTGAAATTGCTGGCTACGGGCCTGACCTACAAATTCACGAGTTGATCCAAACAAAACCAAAGGTGATGTTGATGTTGATTTCTTCTCCCAGAGTAGTCTAGCAAATTGCTGTGATTGCGGTTGTTGCGACAAACGCAATCTTTTTGCGCCTCCATTTACTGCGGGATTGCATTGGTGTACACGCGAAAGTGGTCGTACGGTGGCAGCTGCTACGCACAGGTTTTAATTTCTATCACAAACATGCCGGTAAGTTTATAAAGACCACCTCATACTTACCATACGTAGTTCTCCTCTATCTGTTAAAAAGGTTTTATAAAATAATCGAAGAAAGAGGGGTGTATCAGTACAAATTCTCTGCCAAAATGATGGCTCTATCGAGACAACAGCAGACGATTTACATTTGCATTTTCGATTAAAACTTAAGTAGACCTGCAGGTAAATGAAAATAAGCACTAAAATTGTTCTCTTTGAAAAAAACTAAGAAAAGAAATTTGTGAACTGGAAAAGCCTACGTGTTCATGCCCGGAAAAACCCTGCAAATTATTCGGGAACGGGATACAATGTTGTCCACAGTCCAGCACAACAGTACTCGACAGTTAAACACAATGTTCAGAATAAATGCTTATTCTTGTTGCAACAATGTCTCAAACCCTTACCTCTGGACAAAGAATAATTTCAGTTTGTGTATCTGGTTGCAGCATATGGCCAAGTCCTATATTCATTTATTTTTCCAGCCCAAAGGAAAGCAAGGCACCAAGGGCCAAAAACAAATTGATGAGGAGAATAAAGCAACCCTCAAGTTTTATGGCTATATTATATTAGGAGTGTCTGTAAGTAAATAACCTTTTCTCCCCTTTTTAATACACTCACACTAAATATCTCTCTCTATCACTCTCTCTCTCTCTCAGCATTAATTGTAATAACCAGCTTTTAAGAAAGGTGCATGTAATTCAGCAATATTGGTCTTATTGTTTAAAAGCTTAAAACAGAAACAATTGCCATTTTTGCAATGAATTGAAAAAGTGACAATTAATATCATACTTTATTTCAAACTTTATTTTAAATGCTATTTATAATAACTTTTTTACAGGCAGTATACATGTTGTTAACCTTTTTATTGTTCTGGGACTCATTTACAACAATGTACTGGGTAAGTTTCAAGCAAGAGAGTATTTTCTTAGAAATGGTGTCTTTGTTGAGAAAAATCTTTGAAAGATAAATTCTTAAAGAGGTTTGATGTGTTGAAGTACTATTGCTTTGGTTGATTAATGTATCAAGGAAAATTTTGATATGACCATAGAAGCAAAAAAATACAAACTTATCTAATGTTTTAATTTAAGACTATATATTGTGCAACCTTCAGAAAATGTGTTTTTTTATTTGTGATACAAGGTTTTGATTTATTGTAATACACTTCATATTAATATATAATTATATATTTATATATTTCAGCTTACAGAATTATAATAGTTGTTTTTTTACCTTTCACAGGTGTTAACAATATTAACATTAATAGTGTATGGTGGCAGCTATCAGTTTATGTCCAGTATGATGAAGTCATCTTTAGATTTAAACATGGAGCAAGGCATGGCAGAGTGAGTACATGTTGCTCAGGTAAACCATTAGGTAAACTAAGAGTGAAAGACTTTTAATTAGCATAAATGAGGAGGAAGCAATGTCATCATAGGGTGTTCCCAGAGATTTAGATCAATCCAGGGATTAAGATTTAGATCGACCTAACTCCTTGGGGGTTCAAGCTAAATTGCAGTCAGCCGAGCGCGCACCATAGTTAATTACCCCCTAGCAGCTTTCAGTAGGCGGGACAGATGCTTAAGCCGGCTAAGCTGACAGTAATCTAGTGAGACTCCCCACAGGGATAGATCGATCTAAAATCTATGGAAATGGGGTAATAGTCATAGCTTTGCAGGTCTGAGAAAATAGACTCAAGCAAATTTGTGCGAGTAAGAGTTATTACATATCCACCTAATAAATAATTTTTTTATTATGAATGTTTTTTTTTATCAATCTTTTCATTGTGTTTTGTTATGAAAAATGCTTTAGGTAGAAGAAATATGTGAAAACAAAAATTTTTTTTCGAGCATTTTCTTTACTTTTAATTTGTAACATTGCTGGCACCTCAGCCAGTATATCGTGCCCTGTTGTAATTTGAATTTAAAATCTGTTTCTTTTTTTTTTTTTTCAGACATATTAAAGACCTTATACTTCTCACTGCTATTACACAGAGCCTGTCTTTAATATCTAATTATTTTTGGTTGCTATGGTTACTGGTAAGTGACATCTCAAAATCAACTTGTGGCACATTCAGTGTCTCAGGGACTGAACTTTTTGTAGATCAAATTGAAAATGGTAACCGAGATATTTGTGAAAGTTTGAAAAGGCAAAACTTGCATCTGATTTTACTCATTGAAGGTTAACTTAAAGCTGCTATATATTTTTCTGTCTCTTCTTGAAGGTTTCAGTTTGTGCACATTACACATTGTGTTAATCACTCTCTTTATTCAAGTAAAGTTCTTTGCCGTATCATATACATATATAATACGTTATTGTTGATTACAAACTTGAAAAGAACATATGTTGGTATGAATAAGATGCTTGGAATTTATGGATGACTGTATGGTGTCCTTTTCAGGCCCCTGGACGTGCCCTATACATGTTGTGGGTGAACATATTGGGTCCATGGATATTTGCAGAAGCACCCGAAGAGCCTGATGAGAAGAAAACCAAGAAAATGGAAAGAAAAATGAAGAGAATGCACTGAGATTAACGAACTGAAAAGCTCTGTGATACAGGTTGTAGCAAAATGTCACTGTCTTTTGGCGACTCCTTAAGGTGAACAATGTCATATAATTGCTGGGGGATCCAGGATTTTGCTGGGTGGGTGGGTGGGAGGGTGATATATATATGGTTTGGACAATTTTACTCTAATTCTACTCTAACATGTAGGGAATGCAAATTTGTTTGATTTTGTCTGGTTTTGCTTGTTATACTTAAAGGTAAGACTGACATTTAGCCAAGAAAAGTCTTAAGCATCAGAGGTAATAAATTATATTATATGTATTATATTGGATATAGTGGATTGTTATGTGCGTCTTGTAGAAATAAGTTTTAGAAATAAGTTTGTAGTTTTTTTCCTTTACATATTTTTAAAGAACTAATAAATCCCGTCATTCCTGATTGCTATCCATAATTCATCAGATATGGAGAATAAATAAATATATAACATATTTCGTCATATTTGTTTCATTGATAGTTGAAAAGATCTAAACAGAAACTTGGCTTCACATTTGAACATTTCTTTTTATTACCGTCTATTGCACAACCTGACTGGTGTATATAAAAGAAAGCTTTTAGGCAACATGTTATGTAGTATTAAATCTGTTTTACAGCAAGAGCACCAACAATGTGCAGTTATTATTAGAAAAATATTACATTCTGTGAAAAAGACCTCTACTTTGATAATACATCTCACCTATAACCAAGTCCCATTCAGAACGCTACAACACAAAATGAAATATACAAGACGATATAATCACAAGACAAAATACTGTTATCATTATAATCAATAATGATGGCAACAAAGCTACCTGTCACATTAACATGATTATATGACAATAAACAATACTTTGACTTCACCTTACCACTCTGCATTAGAATTACAGTAGTAGCTTTTCTTCGAAACAACAGCTTAACTTGAAGTTAATTACACTCCAATATTGCAATCTCACAAGACACCTTCAGGAAAACAACTGAAGATCAGTTAACACCTTTTAATTTATGATAGATCCACAAATATTTAATTTATCTGTTGCCTGTTTCGTCTGTTCACTCACAACTAAATGACCTAATCAGGTAAAGGTGATCAGTCTTGACGATTAGATCGACGGAATAAGGTAAGACTAAAACACCCTCGTGCAACTTCTTGCATCTGCTAGAATCTTAAATTTCATTACATTGATTGGCTCAGCCCAAAACTCATGCCTTCAGATCTGTTAAAGTTGTAGCTTTTTTGCTTTTCATTACCTGCTTTCAAATTGTTACCTCAAGGTTTTAACCAGCCGTTCCGCACTTCAAATTCATTTTAGATAAGATTGTAACCGGCTCAAATTTTTAATCTTCACATTATTGTATAATATATATATGAACAGCGACACTTAACTCTGATCTTACCGTCATTTCAACCCCTACCTTCCACCCCAACAGCCACCAACCTCAAACTGCTCTTGTTGTAGCTTGAACTCGTCAGCAACCTCCTTTAATTAACTACAGGGGTGGATCCAGAGATATTTTCTGACAGTCTTCCAAATTATCTTTATTGATCCATTGGATCCTCCATTTTAGACTGTCTTCCGACAAAAAAAATTAGATACCCTTCAATGTAAACTTGAAAATCTGACCGTCTTCCAGAAGACCCAGAAGACGGCCTCAATCTGCCCCTGAAGTACATGCTATAGACATCATTTATCTATATAATCTTGGGCCCCAATATTTAAACAGCCTTTATCTTTACAGTCAATTACAATACTGACTTCTTCATCAATGATATCATACTCTGGAGGGAACTGTCACCACAATGATGCCCTCCAGCCAAGTGACACTAAAAGCAATTCTGCCCAAGTATTGTGGACCCTATGTCATTAAGTTTAATGACACTCAGTAACGTTCTTAACAAATGTCAAGCACCTGATTGTCAGAATGAATTCCAACTAGCTAGATCACTGTTTCTCAGCACACTGGGCAATATCAAGCATGAAATATCAGTGTGTATATTTGTGTATATTTGCAAGAGGACTGGGTTGAAAATTCTCCCTTTTAACAGAACTGTTCAGGAGAACCCATCAAAATGAACAACAGCTCTTGGTACTATAAAACTGTCACTATACACTAGACCAAGGCCAATGACATTGTCAAACTGAACATTGAGAACAAATCTAAAGTTTGACAGTCAAAACGGGCTGTGTCTTGAATTTTTTTTAGATTTCTTGGATCATTTTCAATTATATTATATTATATCTTGTCTCCATTTAAATGCTTGCATCATTCAGGTTTTCCCTTGCTTTCTCAGAGTATTGCCTTCATGCCACTGGAAAAATCTTGTGCCATCAGTGAGAGTTTTGCTATCAAGCTTGATTGTAAGATGCTTGCCTTGCAGCCACCCAAGCTGTGAACACATCCCTGAAAAGAACAACAACAACAAAAAATATATCATTTTCAAATATATCCAGTTTAAAATAAATTTTCTGTTGGGCCATTCTGAAACCATTTAAGGTCAGCTACAATTACAAACTAGAATAACAAACGGTATCAAAACATAAAATTACAGGTAGATTTTTTTCAATCTATATTTTCGTGTATAATTCATTATAAGTTTGTGTATAAATCTGCATACCTATTATCACTCTATCTATACCTGATCACTTGATATATTATATCTGAAGTATACAATATAGCCATACATATTTCATTATTAATTTTACCTGCAATGACTAACGACACACTGACTACTGCAGTATTCTTGGTCCCACTGTGGGTTTTCTACACTTGGGTTATTACAGCCATCTCGTAAACACACCGGCAAAGGAGAGGGCTCTTCTTTGGGGGCTTCTGGAGCAGGGATCTGAAATGACCAAATGACATTTTATTGATTTAAGGTGGACAAAATAAAAGATAATTAGGTTTTTATTTGATTCTGTTGACCCTTGTTGAATTAAATACACAAAAAATTATCATGCTGACTTCATGCCACTTTGAAAAAATGTTACAATACTACCCAATAAAACAAATTTATCTTGCTGAAAAAAAAAAGAAAAAAAAATTAAATATTTTCTTTTTTAATTTTGAAAATAAAAGGAAATGATGAAAATAATATGCCAAATCTCTCATGAGTCTACTACACACTTCTTTTGCTGAAATGCAGATATACCACTCCAATCTGCTTTTGTCTTAGATGCATCAAAGTGCATTACAAATGCAAAGAATACATTTTAAGCCCACATATACAAACAGAGATATATAACAAAACATTTAGATTCATGCATGACAGAAGTACAACAAAAAGAGCACTGCGTATATGAAGTATATGAAAGAAAAGATGGACACAATAAATCCACATACACAATGGGGGCATACGTACAGCAAGGCAAACAGCCAGAGGCTGTACAAAAAACATTACAGCTAGAAGGTACATAAAATGCTCTGTCCAATTAGTGAAATGGTTGTGTAATAAGCACGGAACATCTGAAATAATCTGTAAGACATCACATTCCTAAGAAAACAAACATCCTGTACCTGGTTTTCCATTTGACCACTAGACGCCAGCACTTGCTGAGGGTCTGAAATTGTGGTAGTTGTCTTTGGAGCAATTGACTGGAATTGCTTCAGCTGGTCAGGATTGACATGGAGCTAACCACAAAATAACAAAAGAAACACAAACCCATTAATAAAAACTACCTGAAAATTTTTTTTTTTTTAGATTTTCAGTGCTAAATATTGTTTGCTACTCTGAAAACAACAAAACATCTGAAACAAAGATTTTTCTGTTTAACATGGGAGTGGTTGGTGATATGTATTCAGTAACTGACCTGATGAGGTTTTTATTGCAAAATTTGAAATGCTTCCACACATGGAAATTATTTTCCAATTTTAGCAATAATTCCATATACTGGACAAACAACCAAATTTATAATTTTTACCCTAAAATACAATTAGTGTGTACCTGTATAATCTTCTTTGTAATTTTCCCACTTGTCGTTGTGATCACTTTCATTCCGCTCTCAACACCCTCTGCTGGAACATTTTCTTGCTGATTGGTTAAAATCTCTGCTTTTGGCAAAACTCTGGTTAAATTTTTGTGACCCAGGAGGGAGGAAGGTGTCAGAGTGAGTGTAATAGGTTTTCCATCTTTACCAGGAAATACAACCTGAAATTTCAAGTTATTTCATATGTACTCTGGAGCCTGAGAAATGTGCCATTTGTCCTATTAAAAAAAAATTGTGTAAAATGTGAAGACTTAGACCATGATTATGCTAAAAAGTATAACTGTTTCTTAATAAAGCATAGTCTAAATGGATTTTAAAAACACTTTAACAAATTTGAAATCAAAAGGCTATCCGCAAAGTCCATCTAAAAGTAGAGAAATACATTAAACTTATAAAATCACAGAAAGAACAGAAAAGGTTTCTTTTGCACAGTTATGAAGACACTGAGATGTTTTTTAAAAATCATGTGTATTTCTCCAACAATTATTTTATGAATATGGCATAGAAACAAATGTATTTGTCATTTGATTGAGTAGTTTGAAGTGGAGCAAATTTTGATCAGTTTCATGACTGAACTCATGTCTATTGTTTTTCCTCTGGATTCAGTCTGCTTTTAGTAGGGCTTAAATTTGGTTTACCGCCTACTTTAACACCTATTTAGGCACAATTTAATCTGCAAAAGACCTGCCACCACTCAATGTTCCCTTTTCACAATTTCATCCACATGTATGAATACAATCACTCCCACTTCCACAACTTGGGGTATATTTTAAAGTGCTATCTCAGCCTTAAACTTAGCTTTATATGAAAACCACTTAAGTAAAATTAAATTTTGTTTAAAGCTTCCTTTATAAACCAAATGCTTAGCTTTAGTTGGATTTTAGGCAAAGTTTTGACGAAAACTGTCCCTACTTTTAAACATGGTAAAAACCCAAAATTAAAACATATATTAGGCAATAAATAAATAAAGAAAAATCCACACATGAAATGGGCTTTCAATATTTAACATATATTAGAACACTTTATACCTTAGCTGTTGCTGGTTGTTGCTGTTGCTGAGACTGTTGTTGTTGTTGCTGTTTAAAATTCTGTTCTGCTGTAACTGCATGTTCCCCTTCTTTACCAGCACCATCATCATCATCTGGACTTTGTTGACCCAAGCTTTCCTCCCCTTCAGCCTCTTCTTCTGCTTCCTCCTTTTGCTGTGGTGGAGGGGAAGGTTTCTTTTTCTTTGGGACAGGGGGCGTGTGCAGCTCTGCTCCTTCCTGAGTGAGATAAAAATCATTTTGAGAGAAAATAAAAGAAAAAAATGACAAGTCTCACCTCAGCCATGTACGAACAACTTTGCCAAGCTGAGAACATAATGTGAAAATTATTTAAATGTTTGTCAGACGACACGTGGGCCTCAATGTGAGGTATTTTTCCTCCTTTTGAGAAAGAGGGAAGCCAGACTTGCATAATTTGTTTGTAAAGGGGAGCAAGGGTGGTTGAAGGTAACACCCATGTTGCCCCACCCCTTTCATCGACCAAGTGTGCATATATTTCTTCTCTAATTATACCTGTGATACTTGAGTGGCTCTGTAGGCTGCAAGCAATTTCAGGTATTCTTTTTTTGCCGTCTCTGTTCTCTGCTTATACACCTGAAAAGAAAAAAAAAATTGACATATATAATTATCTGAAATCATGTGAAAATATCCCTCCTTTGCTCCATTAGCAAAATATCATGTGACAACTGCTCTGACATTTAGTTTTAAGTACAAAATCATACTTAAGTAACAAAAAGAGTCATGTTCATCTCAAAGCAAAAAGGCTGTAAGGCAAATCCCATCTGAAAAACATCATGCAAACACCCAAAACCTTTTCTAAATTTACAATACTTTACAACTTTCTTTACGGTAACATCATAGGAAAATAGGCAGCAAAGGAAAAAAAAATGTGATTGCACTTTTTCCATACACGCAAGCCTGTATTATTTGTGTCCCCACACAGATGTGCCCAGTGCATCAAATACAGGTGAGAATATGCGGATAGTACCGAAATAACTACCATGGGTAGAAACAAAAAGCAAGTAATGCAAATGCATAACCTGACTTGTACTCTCTGCCTTAACAATCCTGACTAGCCTAAAGGTAAATGTAAGCTTGATTTGAGTTTTTTTTTTTTTTGAATCTCTTTAAGTTCAACATGTTCAACTCATAATTGGTCACTGACATGTGTAGAATTCCCCAGGCATTTTTACTTCCAGTTTAGTTTATGTTATCACTCACCACCTGTTCCCGGTTCTGGGGCAAAATCATTCATTGACATGTAAAATGCATAAACATGAACCACTACAAACAAGATTTTACTCAACTGTACCATATCATCATTTCCTAAAAAATAAAGTTCATGCTTATTATTCTATAAACTTTTGTGGGGGAGGGGGAGATTGTCTGGGAAGGAATTGTTTAGAGAGAGAGAGAGAGTCCTAGTTGGCCATGGGAAAGGGGTTGCCTGATAGCCCTACTTCCCTCTATATATGTCCAACCCCAGGTCACCTCATTTTTCTGGATATTGGCATTCAACCTCCTCTGCCTAGTAACAAGTAATGGAAATCACCGGAACTGGCCCAAAGTCTGGTGACTGCATGTTTTAAATAATAATGACAATTTCACAAATCCAATTTATCAGGATTTGGAGGAGAGTGGGGTCAGACTCCAAAACGACGAGGGTTTCGTAAGCATTTATCGTGGATTTCTACCGATGTCGAAGTGGGATTTACAAACGATGTAGCCGACGGGTTAGTTTAATGCAAGTGGAGTGAGTTTAATTGTAATTTGACAACTGTCTCTATTTTTTAAATTTTTAAATGTGTGTAGAGGGTATCCTTGTTTCACAAGCTCTCCCTGTTTTATTGACTCTAAGGGAGCCTATGGGGATTTAGCGACATTCGTTTTGAATATTTTAACCGATTTTGATGTTTTTTTTTTTGCTTTACGGTAGACTAGTATGGCATTTTAACATTGTTTTGTGTGGTTTTAAAGATAAGGCACCCTTTTTTAAAATCATGTAGCACTCTAAGGACAATTGTTTTCTAACCAATCAAGGTGACAGCTGAGCATGCCATGAACAAAAGCTGACTGCATGTATCCAAGGATATTTTCCAGGTTGTTTTTTTCCTAACTTAGGTCAAATTACAGCCTGTTGCGCAACAGTACTAATTCACTGTATGTTCTGTGGCACCTTGTTTTTTGCATTCTAAGATGTCATTCCCAGTGCATAGTGTTTCACCTATACAGCTAATTAGTTAACCCAACCACTTGTGAATTCTCGCACTTTTTCTAGTCATATATGATGTCATGCAGTGCCAACAGCCTCCTTTTCGGCTTTCTCAGATGATTTTCGTTGAAGAAGTTATGCAAGTCTAAATTATTGTGGCAAGTTATTATTATTTTTTTAATAAAAAGGAACAGTGTTATGTGATTTCAGCCTTAATAATGTGTGTGTATGTGTGCATGCACATGCCAACATGCATGTGTATGATTGTATATATGTGCTCTCACATGTGTCCAGTAAAATAGTAATTATAACAATAATTGTTGATGAAAGCAAATCCTCCCCAAACTCACATTTTTACTATCTGGGTCAAGGTTGTCCCACATTGACGCCACAATTTTGGAAATTTCCCCGAAAGTTGCACTGGGGTTCTGTCCCTTGATTGCTGCCTGTGTGTCTCGGAAGAAGAGGGCATATGCTGATACTGGCCTGCAAAAGAATTGAGACATTCGCAAATAAATAAATAAACCATTTCATTGGGGTCACAAAATAATTTCTTTCAAATATTGATAATTATCTTTAAATAAATGATAAATTGAGGAAAGTATCATGTTCTTAAAATTGCTCATCCAATATGAATTATCTTCAGCACCTAGCGCAAAGCCTATGCGCTGGTCTGAGCTGGGATTGAATACTCCACCGAGGGTTTATAACCTACAGATCATATCACAGTAAAAATCAAACAAATGGCAGTCTTTTGAATCTTGATCACCATATTCAAGTGAGACAGGTCCAAAAAAATTCTAACCACCATATTTCTGCTCTGCTTTCTCCATTATTTTACATCCTCCACATGACTTACTTCTGGGGTTCATTTGGATCCTTCTTCTTTTTCTTCTTGGGAGTCCTTCCCCTCTTCTTCTTCACTGGGAGTCCTGGATCAGTAGCTGGCACAGGTGATGCCCTCTGGTGACCGGGACCAGCCAACTACAGCCATTGCAAAAAGAGATAATTAACAAAACACTCTACAACATATACCAGTCATATTAGAGAATTTATCTATATTGCTTTCTTAAACTTAATTTTAGTATTACAAGATCAGTGAAGAGGCTTTTTTAAAAGAAACCAGCCAACTTCAGCCATTTCAAAAGCAAATTATTGAAGAAACTGTATGCCAAATACCAGTCATATTTCAGAATTTATCTATCGGTTAGAATTGCAAATCTTTGATGAGATTTTATGAAGAGAAATGTAATGCTGCAAAGAGAAGCCATATTGTGGAATATCTACGTAGTTCACGTTTAGTAATTAAGCATCATCCAGAAGGTGTAGTTCTGATCCTAAAAAATTTCCACTAAAACAGTGTCAACACTATTCCTAAACAATATACAAACCTGTGACAAAGGCAGGCAGTCATCGCTATCCTCACTAGTGTCAGGTCGACTTGGGGACGAATGCGTTGATCCTGCTGGTGACACGACACCCCCCTCCATGTGACAATAGCTATTATAACAATGCCCCGATGGGTGAAGGTAATGTCCGCCTCCACTTACAGGTAAATGGGGGACTTTAAAATAACCGCCAAACGAGTGGTCTGAATGGAAAGCCTGTGCTGATTGGTTCACAGACCTTGTCGTAAATGCTGAAATATGGCCACAGTATGTTTCAGAGCCGGTGGCTATACTACCTGTCTGATACTGGTCTTGTGGTTGAAATGCTGAAAAATTATTAGATAAGATGATATCAGGAATGTCTAATGTCTGGGGTGGGAACTGAGGCGTCACCTCTACAATTCCACCATTTTGGTAATCATCGTGATTTGCCGAGACTTCTGCAGCTATGATTGCATTTGGTGGTGTCTCAAACGCGTGATCTGTGTGATGGTCTTGTTGATAGTAAACCTGCTGTGTCTGGTTAAAAGTTAAGCCTTTGTTGTTGTCTGCATAATTGCCAATAAAACTGTTCAATTGCAGCTGGTGAGACGTAGATGGTGCTGGTTGAGACAACTGATTTCCAAGACAAGCCTCACTGTTGACTGAATAGTCAATTGGCAGCGCATCAAATTCTTCCTCATTTATGCTGGGTACATAGTACATCTGTAAATAAAGAAACAAATAAAAAAAAATATATAATACACACATTCACAAAGTAATTTTTGATTATCTCCTGACAAAGGCTTTGAGTCTGCCTATTGTCAATGAAGGACTCTGTATGTCAATGTGGGAAGAACTTCCAAATCATCCTTATAATAAAAAAACAACAATTAAAAAATATCATTGATAATATCCATATTTATAAAATAATCATCCACTGAACATGGGAGTTTAGATACAGAAATATCTGTTGCAGAACACAATCCTAAGAACGTAATGCCAGACCACGCATTCTCATCATGGAAAAACTAAAATGGACAACATGTCTGTCCCACAAAATCCAAGTCCACTGTGTAATACTTGTCAAATAATTTGTCATATTTTAAACCAAAATTTCATACTTATATTAACTGAGGTGCTAATAAATCTACATCTAGACATCTATGTACACATTCATGTTATTCAATATACCAGCATCGTTTTACATCATCATGCACATTCTCCAAAACCCAAATGTTCATAGAATATCTTTGAAAAAGTTTGACAGTCGCAAAAGCAGCAGATCTATTGAACTAGAGGAACTAAACTTCGCATCAAATACCATAGTAGACCCTCGAGCCTCCCCCACCCACCCCAACTGTTTCCAAAACAAAATGGCAAATTCAACCCTATTTCACTAAAAAAAAAGAAAATGAATGTGTCCTACAGAAGTTAATGCATAGTGCCTTAGTTGCACTAATTCAATTTACAATTTCTTTTTCTTTTTTTTTTCAAGGAGAGAGGAGCTAAAGAACCCCCTCCCAACCCACCCATGCCACCATGAATCAACCAGCATTTTAGGCAAGAACAGAACATATATATA